ACGCATAAACAGTGCAAGAAAGACACTGACACCTCCAACCCTCCAACTAGGACTGTTCTGAGCAAGTGTGACAACATCCTGTAAAAATGAAAATGTGTCAAACGCATGCATAATTCTTTCAAGAAGGTTGTGCCTACAATAACTTCTACCTTTTCAAATAAAAATAAAATAAATCCTGTGACCCCTTACTTTTGTCTGGGATAACTGCACTGAGGGGCAGACATTCTTATAGAAGGGGCTCTAATTTAATTTAACAAAGTTCCATGCATTGCTGTATACAAGTTTAGTTCTCATCACAACCATAAAAAAAAAAGGAACAAAAGCCTAAAGGCCAACCTGTTTTAGGCACGTTTTCAAAGAGCAAGAACAACTCATTGTTGGTTGGGGTTTTTTTTGGTTGGAATCCTGAAAATCTGCAATATGGAAGACGCAGCAGGAAAAGGATCAGGAATAAAATTTGTGACAAAAAAAGTTTTGAAATGGCTTACAGACATTTGTATTAAACAGGCAATGTAAAACCACAGAGGAGTAACACTTTTGGTCATTTAAGGTAACTATGACATGCCAAAAAAGGATACAGACGCAAGAAACCTGAAAGGTTACAAAAAGACAAAGAAACAAGAAAGCACACTAGGTACATCTATCAAAGATTAATAAAATACAGAAAAAAAATTTCTACATTTTAGAAGATCTAGTTTTTAATGACTAAAGAAGGGCCCTTTGATGAGAAGACAACTTTGAACGTGCTTTAGTCATCTAAAAAAGGATTAAAAAGGGCAAGAAATAGATCAAGTGTTATCAGGGTGACATTTTAAAGACAAAGTCCAGGTACAAGAAGCAGGTACTAAATTTCCAGAATCCTGAAGCAAAAATAAATGAAGAATTTTAGAGAAAATGAGAAAAAAAAAGTCAAGGAAAAAAACCCTGGAAAGCTGAAAACAAAAACTGAGCTTGCGAACCTGGAAAATAAAACTTTGGAAAGAAACAGTTTTCCAGAGAAAGAAAAATAGGACATTGCAGCAGGCAATTTTTTCACCCAATAAAGAGGTGTGGAAATGAAAAAAGGATGAGGAGATGGAAATGAGAGAGTATTTTGACGAAGGAGAATATACAGCTGGAGACTAAAAATTAACTGCATCTTTATCTGATGGGAAATGGAAAATGGATGTTTCTGTTTAACGGCATCATTCACTTCTGAAAAAGCAGCATTTCAGCTATGACAAAATTAAAAAGTGTGTTTACCTCAAGTCAGAACACAATAATTTTAGCCCTCTAAATTAAAAAAAAAATAAATTAAAAAAAAAAAGACTGCCAACATTTCCCTCAGCACCTGGTACTAAACTGCAATGCCAAAAAGCAGTATTATGTTGTTCTATTCCATAGATGATCCGTTTGAACCTTAATCTTCTCCCTACAAGTCAGAGCTGTGCAACAGATCCATTACTGGTATTAAGCACACGAAATGCTTGTGTGTCACAGCAGCTGATGTGACATGATAATCTGGTAATTCGAGCACTGATAAAAACTGCTAAATATATTCTTAAACTCAGCCCTGCTAAATCACACCAAAATATCTGTTCATAAGGATTTCTGAAACAATTAACCTGCAAGGAAGTAGTTAAGACTATATTAGTCCCAAAACTGTTATTCCTGTCTGTCTTTAGGTTTTGAACATTCTTACCAGTTTTTAGACTGCATTTAATTGACAATTCACTACTCAAAACCTGTGTAAACAGTCTTCATGACAGAATTAAAGAAAGCTAATTTTAAGTAAAGCCTTCCAAAAGGAAAATATGAAGTTATTGTAAAATTAGACTCAATCTGGGCAAAAAATTTTGCAAGGAGAATTTTATTTTAAGTTTAACCTGATTTTTAAGGAATAGAAACTGCTTTAAATGATACTTCAGTCTAGTACTCATACTCTAGTACCTGCTTCTCATGATAACGGCATTCACAGGAGCTGACATAGAGAATGAGCTCTTACCTATACGGTCTTCACAGTAAAAAAAACAACCAACCATGACATGACATTATCACCTTTCCTACACTAAATTGCAGTTTTCTTACAAGCATAAACTAACTTCAGAAATTTACCCAAGAGGAATTTCTCAAGACTAGTTAAAGTTCTGAATCATCACATGCAAAGAAATTACAAACAGACACATCATCCTGCAACGTAAATTGCTGAAGCTTTCAGTATAACAAAGACCAAAAACAAGTGCTTTATGGCTAAAAAAGTAATCCTGTGGTTTGTTTTGATAGTGAAGGCAGTGGGAATCAATTCACTAAAGGCTTCAATCAGAAGATATTAACTTGAAAGAACAAAAGATTATTTTCCCTGTTTAGAAACTGGCAGTTCATTCAACCAGAAATTTC